TATATATATGTATAAATAAAACTGTAATAGTAACTAAAGTAATATATCAACGATTCTAAAAAGAAACACACTGCTTCTGAATTTAGACCCCATTAGTATTAGTTCATTCATCACCAAAGACTCTTTTCTGCTTTTCTCGCTATTTAAAAGTAGATTTCTGTGTGATTTTCTCACCAGATCGGCCTGTGAGTTGGAGTGTTTGTTCTGTTTCTCTCGCTGGAACATCTGCAGGACTTTGCCGTGATCACAGTGATGAACGTCAGACTCCTCCTGCGAACACAGCATCAGGTTAGTGGTTGGGAATGGTTTAATAATCGACCCGGACCTCTCGAACGACACGAAAGACTCACTTCATCATGATTATGGTGATGTCCTCTGCGAGTAACGATGGAGAAGATGCTTTCCATCAGGTAGAAGAAATAGATGCCCGCAACAAGCACCAGCAGTTTGTACACATAGTCGAAGTTGTCCTCGGCTTGGTCGTGATCGTGTCCGTCCTCGTGAACGTGGAGGCCTAAGAACTGCACAGAGATCAAACGACATTAACGCCGATCATGCTTTGATTTCCCAGCAGCGCTGTACAGTCATTCCTGTCTGCACTCAATAAGTGAGCTCTGTTTCTCTCAGCAATCCGGTTATTTTCCACTCAGGGCGATGACATGGTGTGACAGGGCTGCAGTTATGTTGACACGGATCTAAACGGATGAGGGAGCGTGGGCGCTGTCAGCGCTCGGGGGAAATAACGGGTGCCAGGCCCATTCTGCCCCGTTAAACCAGAAAACTGAGCTTTCAGCGAGACTTGAGAAGATGCCCAGCCGAAGAGTAATCGCAGGGTGATTCAGAAGGATGATGAAGGCTAAAACTAAAACAGCAGCTACTGTATAAAGTTGCATGCAAAAGTCGGCATGTCAGCAATATGAAATATGAAATTTACACTCCTTTGCCCTTTCAGAGTTATTCAAAGCTAAAGATTAACCTGTGTTTTGGCAGTGCCTCTGATGATTTGGGATGGACTGTAATAAGATAAAATTATGATGAACTGATATTGTTACATGAAATAAAATAAACATTAACTGAAATGTATATACAGAAAATATTCAAGCAAATTTATCTGTGAAAGCAATCGAAATTTAATACATGAAGAAACTCACATTTTGAGAGGATTTAAATGATTATTTTCATCTAGTTTTCAAGGCAATATTTCTCATTTTCATGAAGTTTAACCAAGTAAAATAACTAAAACTGAAATAATTAAAAATATATATATTTTTATTTAAATATATTTGACATTAATAAAAAAAAAACATTAAACAGAACAAAAGTACTAAAACCTTAACTAAAAAAAAACAAGCAAACTTTGCCATTTTCATGTAGTTTAACTGGATGTATTAAAATAAATAAATAAAATAAAATAACTAGACATTTCAAAACAAAAACAAAACAACAAACATTACCAAAACTTTAATTAATATTAAAATGAAAACATAAAATATAAAATAAAAACAAGATTTTAATTAAATTAAAATGATCATTTGTACCAAAATAACACTGATGCATATGCATAAATCTTCACATTTAATATTATTTATTATTTTTTACTATAAATAATACTAATTTATTATATATGATATTTTATTCTTTAGATCAGAATACTAAATGATTCTACACGACACAAACAGGGATTGAAGATGCAAATATAAGAAGAGAACCAGTCATGTAGGCAAATAAATTCATGTAAATACTGAAGCTATCAGCTGCCTCCAATCATGCAAATACAGCTTTGAATGGGAAAGACTGAAACTGTTTGTCAAGAAGTTTCAGTGACAAAAAGTTTGAAAAAAGCCTGCTCACCAAGGCTGCATTTATTTGATCAAATCAAAATCAATGTCAAAATTATCAATGTTGAAAACAGTTGTGCTGTTTCATTTTTGTGGAAACTGTGATGCATTTTTATTTTTCGTGATTGTTTGATGAATAGAAAGTTCAAA